AATTTGATACCCATAATCATCTATATTCGGACATCCTTCACAGAAAACCGGACCTAATTTTGCCCGTCCTCCAAATTCTGTATTATTTACATTAACACCTCTGTATATCGTTATAGGAATAGCATTTAATTATAAATCAATAATAATTGTTATATATATTATTTATTTTAATTAGTGTGGTAATTGATAACTTACGTATCAACAAGATAAACATTTACTTTAGAACCAGCACTTTTAGGATAAGTATATTTTCCATTCAATGGACGGTGTTGTTGGTCAATACGATCCAGATTCTAGATAAAGAATTATTAATGTTGTTTATTTGGGTTATTTTAAACTAAAACAAAGAAATTGAGTAAGAATAAAAGTTACGATAGGCGTTTTAGAAGAAACTACAGGAGCAGTTGTTGTTGGAGGGCCAGAGGCTAGAACTGCATTTATTCTATATGCTCTATCTCGTTCTACATTAATAACCTCAGGTAAATTAGCCAATCCAGCAGCATCACTAGGACCAAACTTTCCAATGTAACAATTGAACGATCCAAAACTGACATCTCTAATAATGCTAGGATTACTTGATTGAATAGTTAAATCACTGCTAATTTTTTTATTAAAACAAGATGTTAACATTGCAAAGTGATTATTTATTACATCTCTTGAGGCCGTTGAGGAGAGCTGAATAATGAAGGTTTGAAGGGCTTCATGAGGATTTGGAGTTAAAGGACAGTTGAACGAATCGACCAAAGTAATTGAACAAATAATAAATAGGGAAATAATTTTAAAGTAATATGAATTAACTATCATATTTAATTTTTAAAGAAATATTGCATTAAACGGTGGGTGTGTAAAAAAAATTAAATAAATAACTGAATAATGTATGAGCAAAAATTTTGAAATTCTTATATAAGTGAGTACACAACAAAACCAGTGTAATTATACTCTAAGCATTATTTTGCTGTGCATTCACCCATATAGTATTTGTGTAGGATCAGCATGGGAAATAGAATAGTTTCGCAATCAAAATTTCAGCAACTGTTTTCATAAATTCTGGATAAGTTACCAATGTCAGCTGAAATCAGAAGATTATCGATCCATCTATAATAATTTGGTATGAGAATAGCTATAATAATTTTGTAAGAGATCATTCAAAATTTCGCTAATGAAGTCATCCATTTAAGAGCATATCGTTATCAATGATATTTGACTAAATTATATAATATTAATGCGGACCGGCTGATCTAAATTTTAGAGTCTTAAAAATTTCGCGCATTTTCATAACTCTATATGGGATTCAAAATGATTATACGTAGCAAAATACGGAAATTTTATATCCCGCAAATTATGCATACAGTATTACTATATTCTTCAGAATTGAATGTGTTCCTAGTTGGTAATAATTTTGCCAATCGATTACCAACTATGATTGCGACTAATTGAACACAAATTTGCCCGATTTATTTATTACGCTTAGCAAAATTGTGTGAATTAATTTTTTTTACGATTGTGATTGTTTTTATAAAACTGGCTAATTTATCATAAATTTGATTTTGTATTGACTGGCT